TGAGGCGCTCTAGCACAGCCATCGTCTACTAGAGATCATATTCTTCCCTTACTCAGTATCGATAACAATCATCGTCACACTTACCCAACACAACCCTGAGCCATACTCGATATCAGCATTTACTGACGTCACACCTTTTTAGTGTTGCATTATCCCAATCTGATCACGCATAGAACAACACTGATCACACAACAGAACCTTATGAGTATTGGCGCGTAATCTCAAAATACTGTACGCTATCAATTTACCTCCGACATATACATTTAACTCAAAATATAGGTTTATTTATTTGTTTATTTAAATTTTTATTTATTATTTATTTACAATGTAATATTGTTAATGCTTTTGAAAGTATTATAAAATCCGAAAAAGTATCTGATTTACCACTATCAAACATTTCCTTTTTATAGAGTTATTTAACTAGCATTCAGACTAATACTGAAAGTACATATACATACATAGTTTTACTTACTGTCAGCCAGGTGCTGGCAAATAGTTCACATCTCTTCGAAAATCGAGCTGCATGGCGGTGAAATTGATTGCAAAGCGAGTAAAAGGTGATTGCATTGTGGGCTATGGACAAGCAAATCAGAATTAACTACATTTAAAGCGAGTCCTCGTGCGAATCCGGGAATCAACGTCGGCTCCACTTTGCCGCGGCCGCGGCCATCGCAATTGTAATCCCTGTGCTACTCCTCCTGCTGCTGCTGCATGTGCAATGCTGAGTGACCGTATGGCAGGTTTATTGAACCGGCCAGCGAGCAACCGAAGGAGCATTGGGAGGAGGGAAAATAAATGGAAACAAAGCCACCAGTGAAGCGGCACTGGCAATGGCACTGGTAACGGCAAGGGCAATGGTAGCGAGTTGCGCGAGTAAATTAAAAATGTGGCAGGCGGTCGCAGCGGCCTCATAAAGGCGTTGACGAGTTGAGGCGAGTTTAAGTCTGGGCTCCGGAGTGACCCATGATGAAAGCCGCAGCAGCAGCGGCAGAACTCAGCTCACTTCATGTGATATTTCAATTAATTTCGATTTCTTTTGTTTCTTCCATTCGCTGTCCTTGCTCCTGGCAGATATGGCGCTGGTCCTTGTTCCTCCAATTCATGGGGGGATTTCCGCGCAACTTGTTGTCGCCCCTCGGCCTCCTCCTCATTCTCCGCTGTTGCACTGAAAATTAGAAAATCATTGGCACAAATGAAATGTGCAACGTTCGAAAGCCAATGTCTTGGTCCAGCACTCGCGTCTGGCCATGACATCAACCAGTCTCTGTGGGGGCTTTGGGGCTGCAGCTGCAGCTGTGGATGAAGCTGGGTCCGGATGTTGGTCAAGTTAAGTGCAATGCCTTGTCGCAGCGGCTGCTTTCGCCATTTTACCGCTTGGCCGCCTTTCGCTGCAATTTGTCAACTGCGCTGACATTCTTAAAGATGCTCTAAGCTTCTCTGGATTGCAGTTGGGCCGAGAGCTGTCAGCCGCAGATCGGGCTTTGTAAGTTGGGCATTATAATTTCCAGCAAGGAATTAACAAACGGAAACTTCGCCACCTGATTGACGGGCTCCCACTAAAGTGTTTGCAGTAAAGAGCTATCTGAGTGAGTGTGAGGGATCTGCATTTCTACAAGTCCCTCTTAACTTTTGCATTAGCATTAAATTGCGCCAAAGCACCGCCGGGGCAATTAGGCAGCGCAGCGCGAAATCATAAAATGAAAATACTTTTTCAAAAGTTCCCGCAAGTCGCATAAAAAGTGGACCGCACAGATATCAAATGAGGAGCTCACAGCAGAGGAGCGGGCGGAAGGGGGCTGCTATCATCGTTTATGATTCGCTGGCGAAAATTTCTGACTTAATTTAATTAAAGTATTACGACATTCTGAATGCTTTGAGTGAGCGTACAAAATGAAAGAAATATATAAAAAGCTTGTAGTAAAAAAGACAAAAATAAAAGAAATGAGCTCTCATAAATATAATATATATTTAATCAAACTTGAAAAATTAAAGGACAAAATCTAGTATCCGCAGCGTTGCACATTGAGAACCAACAAAGACCCAAGGCGAGAACCAATCAATGGCTATCAATATTTGAATATTCATCATTTATTTATTTACCCAAATTAATTATTAAAAAATTTATTTGCTCGTTTTTGCCCAAGTGAAACTGTTAGTTTGGTTTGATTTTTGCGCCTCTATTTTTAATAAAACAGCCAAAAATTTGATGCATAATTTAAAATACATTTGTATTTAAATTTCTTGATTAGAACGCGCGGCGTCTGGTGCCAACCGCATTGGTTTTTTAAATATTTAATTAAAAGCTGTATATATGGATCAGCTCCGGTAAAGGTTTTATGGATCAAATCACTTATGCGCCGTGTTGCGCTCATAAATAATTAATGCCGACGTTACGACAAACTAAATGAAAACTGTGATGGAAGAGCGGATGCTAAATACGAGAGCCCTCCACTGCGCCATATTGAGCGCATGAAAATCTGCTAAACTGGCGTACTCGACTTGAGCAGGGGAAAACTGTTGAAGGCTCGCCTGCACGCCGGGCTGGACGTGCACCGGAAGTGGTCCAAGATGTTGTGGCCAGCGCTGGCCAAGGCACGAATCTTATCGTTATTCATGCTAAAGACTTAACGAGCGCGAGCCGGGACTGCCAAGCCAGGGCAGTGGGTGTGTAGGTGTGGGCGTGGCAGGCGGCAGGCGGCAGGCGGCAGCAGAACTCTAGCATTCTGTGAGGCTTATCGGCATCGCAACTATTACCCGCAGCAGGGAAGCTGGACAGTGGGCGTTGCTTGTCTTGGAGTTGCGCGTTTTCATTACTTTGCCGTCTCTCGTCTCTTCGGTCCTCCTTCGTGCGGTGTCCTTCGTACTCTTCGTGTTGCTGGTGTTATTGTCATTGCCATAATCGAGGCGAGGCAGAGCGTCGAGAGGAGGGCATTGCCGGCGGGTTAATCTGTAGATTTTCGGTGTTGTCGGTTTTACGAGCCACTTGCCGTTTGCCAACGACGACATATTATTATGGCAGCCATTGTGTAATCCCGCACAATCCCTGCCTTCCCTGCCTAACCATAGCCATAGTCCCATCAGTCTAACGGTCACCCCATCACCCAGCCCATTGTCTTTAATATTTGTTCGGCAATTTTCGGTCTTTTATTTCCGAGCAGGCTCTGTTTGCTGTCGACTCGACCGCCCGCCGAGGGTCCTCGCTGTCAGTGCTTTGTGCTCTTAAAGCAACTTGTCCAATAAATAATTTTATGAAAGTGTTAAATTGGCAAATTTCGTGTCGGTATTCAAGTTATTAACTGGGCCACAGTATCCGTCCTACCCGCCCCCTTTAAAAGCGTTACCAGATCCATTAAATAAGCAAATTAGCTAAGCATTATTAGTCGAATGTTGGCCTAAGTAAACAGTTGCTTGGATTTCAGCTATAACAGCTAAATTTTCATTTTTTTTATTATTTATGAAATACCTTATAATTCCATTAATTGACTGGCTGATTAAAAAAAGAGACTTCGAGTGACTTAAGCAGTCAACTCAACAAATTAAATCAATCCATTAATCAAACCATTTTAAATAATGGGCTGAATTTGTACATACAATTTTTTTTACAAAGTTCAAAGCTATATGCAGGCTGTTTACCTAAATTATTTAAAGATTATTTCCCCTGAATATGCAATCTTTGTTTTTATGGCCATCACATTTAATTAATTCTTGATTTATTTGAACTTATATTCGTTCAGCTTATATTCATATTCATTAGCACACATTCCGCTAGGCCAGAAACCAATTTCCTATGCTGCGCTAACGGGAGCCAAAAAGCAACAGAGAGAAACACTTTGAGCAGGACCGTAATAAACATGAGCATTGAGTTCCACTAAAAGCAAAGGTTGAGCCTCCTACTAAGGTAGCTGCTGTCGACACTCGTTAAATGGCACATAAACCCCTGACATATGCTGTAAATGTGCACTTAATTAGCCCAACGGGGCTTCAATATTATCCAGTGCTAAGCATTCGTATTCGCATTTACCAGCCCCCAAATGTAGGCAACACTTTTTGTGGCATCCAAAATGGCGTCGTAAAGCTCATGGAATTGACTAGGCGTAGCTTAAGCGTATGTTATATTCTTATGTATACATGCATTTCAGAAGCTGACTAGCAGGTACCCTGGGATTTATTTCATTTCCATCATATTATCATATTATTATTATTAAGCCCAAGTCAATATTTATATCTGGCTTTCTATATATTTATAAAATCAGATATGATTAGTAATTTGACCAGTTTCATTAGCTAAACGAACAATATTCGCCACCTTTGCACAATTGGTCAGCTTGATTGCACGTAGATAATTTAGCAACAGCCTAACTGAGGAGGTGGGGTTTGGGTTCATTGGGCGGGCATGACTATGTACTTGATTTGAATATCCAATGCCACACAGCATATTGGGCTTCAGTGCTTATACTCAACCAGCTTCCGTTGCCAGCTGTGTGCAGGGTATGGAAGATAATCTTTTACTAACGCCCCATTTAATTAACGATTGCTGAGTGGAAATTGAAACAGCTTGTGGTGTTTGCCTGTTTGGTTCAATGTGCTCAAATGCTCATTACCTGCTTTCATATTTATTTAAAGCAGGCGCATGTGAGTTCGATTGAATGTCTATGTGTGTGAGCGTGTGTTGGTGGCAGAGTGATTGTGTATGGCACAGAGAGGCGCTCTGCAACTAATCCCCGGAACATGCGCTGCTTTGTTATGGCATAGTTCAAAGCGAATTTGTGTTTCCTTGTGTTGCCAGCAAATCAGGCATGGGATGAAGTAGTTCGCTCTAATTAAACGCATCCAATTCACCTGCTTCCTTTGGCTCTCCCGCTCTTTCCAATTGCAGAACAAGTTTGGGCAACCGAATTGGACTTTGTTGTTATCAATAGACGCAATTTGATGGCCATGTCGGTGGTGGGACCGACGCCGCCCTATCAAAAGCAGCAGCAGCAGGAGTCGCAGCCGCAGCCGCAGCCGCAGCCGCAGCCACAGCGGCCGTCAAACGTAACTGCGAACAGTTTGGAGCACGACGAGGAGGACTACTACAACGACACGATGTTCACGGCAGTGCGTGGCGGCATCGGAGGCATCGGGGGCATCAATAATAATTTGTTCGAGCTGACACGTGATAAGGATGGACGTAATGGCAGAAAGGCGGCCAAGACGACGGCAACAACAAACAAGACAACAATGCGAGGCGGCGGAGCTGCGGGCAAGACAAGATACTTTGAAGTGCCCGATTTAATTAATCGAAATATTGATGAGGGCAATGAGCGACTGTTGGATACTGACGAAGATGATGATGGTGGTGATGATGATGATGCCGATACTGAGGTTGATGCAAATGCTGATGATGATGATGATGATGATGATGATGATGGTGATGATGATGACATGGAAGTAGGCAGAGATGGGGGCACTATCATTATGCCAGACTTCGGATCCAGCAGTGAGAAACATGCAGAAGCCGATAATTGGCAAAAGCTGGGCACCCTGGATAAGGCGCGCAGCAAGACTACAACAGCAAGGACCAGCACTAGGGCAACAACTACAACAACAACGATAGCTACTACAACCACAACAACGAAAGCAACGACAACCACAACAACAACAACACAGGCACCAACAACAACAGCAGCAACAGCCGCAACAGCAGCAACAGAAATTACAACCAGGCAACAGCAATTGCCACACCAGCAACATCAGCACAAGCACAGTCGCAAGCACCACAAACAGCACCACAAGCACCGACAACAACAACAACAGCAGCAGCAGCAGCCACGTCGCCATCATGTGACGTCGCATGAGCAGGCGCTGCAGGAAAGCTATATGAAGCAGCGAGAGGAGGAGCAGCAGCAGGAGGAGACTACGACGCGGGACAGCAGCATTCATCGTGTGCGCACCGAAGTGTTGCCAGATTTAATAATTCCCTCGACGCCGATTTCCACCAATTCCAAGATAATCGCCATCAAGCCCAAGACGCAGAAGCGACGCATTTCCAAGCGCGCCGCGGCCAAGTCGGGCGTCGAAATCGAGCCGGAATATATGCTGGGCGACAGTGTCATCAACTCTAGTGAGTTCATAGCCAAGTCGAGCGAGCAGCAGCAGCTGGACGACGACTTGGATCTGGATCTGGACGATGCGGACTTTCAGGCGCTGCCAACTGTTACGCCAGCTGCTGCTCCTGCTGGCAGCAGCAATAGCAACAACAACAACAACGAGTACGTCCGTCTTGACGGCTTTGCCGGCATGCTGCAGTTGTTCTTTGGCATCGATAAGCCCATCGACGTGGCCATCTTCGCCCAGCCACCGAGTGCGGAGTTTGTCAACCTTCTCTGCGCGCTGCTCGTGTGGTCGGTGCGTTATCCGGCCGTCTTCTGGAACACGTCCAAATCGTTTGCCTGCGTCTTCAGCCTGCAGATGATTGTCGCTGCCTTGGACGTCATTCTCGGCTACGTGGGCGTCTCCAATCTATACAAGCTGCAAATCTATGCGGAAGCCATGCCGGTGCATCAGCCAGGTCTCATTCTGAATGCCACCGTGAGCCTGGCTCTCTATCTGCTGGCCACAGCGCTCGTGCTGGCCTCTTCGATGGTCATGTACCTGTATGGACACGGCAGGCTAGCCACACGCATGCGAGACCGTTCCATCATCACGCTGAAGGCGAGCCAAACGTGGATCTACTTCGCCCACTGCGCATCCCTGTGCTTCGTCCTGGCCCTGGCCGTTGTCAAAGGCCCACTGCTAAATGACCTCAGCGCCACCTACAAGAACAATCTGCATTGTCCAACCTTCTTGGCAGGTGAGTTCTCTTACTGTGTAACGGAACATAATTTACCTGAAGTTGGGCTAAATATTTATATATATATATATACAATATATTGTATGTATCATAGAAGAATATGTATATAAAATGTGTAGAGTAATATAAAACTTTGCGTTTGGGTTTCGCGCCCTGCTTACTGCGCTCTCTATGCGGAACTTAACAGTTCTATTGATCAGCTGTAACCTAACACCCATTTTAATAGTCCAGTTTTAATAATGACACTTAAATGTGTCATGACCAAAACATAAGTCTTCATTATTAATTTATTATGTTATAGAATCCTTGCCATTGATATTTGGTAGCTTAACACAATGGATGACGAAGATGAGAGTTAGCGAGTCGATAATGGCAACACATCCACTAGAGTATTTAAAAGTTTAGGGAATAAACATGATATATATTTTATATATTTGAACACCCCGCTTAACAGTAAGAGCAACCCAACAACAATCAGATCAAGTCTATAATTAGTCTGTTGACGATTTGGGTCGAAATAGGGCAAGCGTATCCAAGCCCACATGAGGCTCACAAGCTCACCTAAGCCCTGCCATGACAACACCTTGAACTGTTGTCTATTTGGCCATGTCATAAGCCAATTAGCGGTTGTTGTTTTAGGGGATTTCGTATTAATCGGCAGTTTAGGGAGAACAAAGGGCGCGTATCGAATGACCAGAGGGCTCAATCGGGTCCCCTCTTAATGGGCACGTCTTGCGACCTAATCATTGTCTTTATAGTCCACTTTCTCTCTCTCTTTCTCTCTCTATCTTTATCTCACTCACTCATTTCATATCTCTCTCTCTCTCTCTCCCTCTCTCTGTGTGCAGCTTTGGTGGGAGTAATCCATTTGCTGCTGTGGATTGTCGTCTGGCTCTGTTTGACCATCAAGCGACGCTGGCACTTTAAGCTGCCCCCGCTGGATCACACGTATGGCGGTCTGCTGAACAAGGCCAGCGCGCAGCCCCTGCTCATGTCCAGCGGTCAACGCACGGGCAGCAATTCAAGCAGCGGCGGCAACTCGACGAGCACCACGGTCAATGGCATGGACTGTGCCACCTCCAAGCCGGACATGATGAGCACGGCCACGAGCACGGAACTGGGCGTGGGCATGAGCATGGGTCTGGTGGCCCAGGAGGACATCTACTGGCCGAAGCTGACGCCCAGCTCGCCGAAGCTGAAGGTCACCTTCAACGAAGTTACGAGTACGTCTGATGATGTCCTACTAATTGGTGACCAAGAACAAACTGATGGCAAGCGGTAAAAAATCGTTTTTAGTTACAAAAAACAACAAATTCAATAGAGCAAAAGTGAAGAAGGCAGCGCCCGTTGTCCGTTTTACTTACGAATCTGCAAACTGCATTCCACACACACTGTACTTAGTTTAGATTCATTTGGTTTTCTCTCACGCACCACCACCAACAAACATCACCCACCTAGCACAGTACAAAGTAAAAAAAAGATACAAAATTAATCAAAATCGTTTTTCTAGTCATCTAATCTAGTTTCTAATTGTGTTGTGTTTCGTTTTCTTTTGTCTACTTTGCACGTTCCATTCTAAACATTCCCAATTCATATTCCGCACACACACACATATGCACATTCATTAAAAAAACTTACCAATATTAAAATAAAAATGTTGCTGTGTATATGCCATCAATTTTATTGCGTTCAATTGTTTTTCCTTTCCTTTTCCCATTTCCATTTTAATTTGGGGTTTTTTTTTCTCAATTTTCATTAAATGTTTTTCCCATACAACCAACCACAAAGAGTGCATACTTGTGTATACATGTGTATAACTCTATTATATATCAATCTGAAAAAAATATAAGCAGCAGAAAGAAAGGAAACTATTTTTGTTCCGCTTGTCGCCTGTTTTATTGAAAATTATTCGCCGACATTTGTTTTTTATTTGTAATTTGAAAACTTGATTTTGTGCATTTCAATTTTTGTTGTTTGTTTGTAAATGTTGATGAACTAGACGTGAATTAGACGTGAATTACTAACTCTAGCCAATTTGTCTTGACTTTCAATCGAAATTAACATTTAACTCACATTTCGTGTCGTCGTGTTGTTGTTGTTGTTGCTAATTAAAAACAATTCCAACTAACCAATGTGCAACACAAGGTGGTCAACCCATGTGAACTGAATAATTTCGAATTCTAATTTAACTCTCTCTTTCACTCTCTCACTCTTACTTAATGCAGCCATACGAGCCGTGGAACCTCGCTATGTTTTGCCAGTTCTACGGGGGAAATTGACGACGGCGAGTACGCGACATTAAGGGCGGCCACCGCCGGCGCCGTTGTGGGCATCACCATGGGCAGCATAAAGAGTAATAGCATTGGCGTGAGCGTGGGCGTGGGCGTGGCAAAGGGCAGCGGCAGCGTCATAAGCGGCCTGCTGCACCTCAGCGAATACGATGAGCTGGCGCCTCCGTCATCCGTCAGCCAGCAGCAACGGCCACACGCCCACGACTATGCCAATCTGAGCGGGCTGGGCGGCGTCAGTGATGATAATATCTCCGAGGAGGGCAAGTTGTTGGCTTGCGTGCGCGACGACAGCATTACCTATGCATCCACGCGCGATCTGGAGCCGCCGCAGCCAGCAACAGTGCCAGCAGCAGCGGCATCACCCCCGCCGCCGCCCCCACCGTTGCCCGTGAAAGGTGCGCCAGTGCCACAGCCGCCCAGCGTGCAGCATCCACATCATCCCAGTTACGGACGCGCCCCACAGGCCATGCCCGAGATCATGCAAATTTCACCCGAGCACAAGTCACAGCCCCAGCCCCAGCAACAGCCACAGCAACAACAGCAGCAACAGCAGCAACAGCAACAGATGCATCAACAGCAACTACATCATCCTCTGCAGCAACATCCGCATCCACTGCAGCAGCAGCATCATCTAGTCAACCCTCTGGCCCCGGTCACCGTCGCTGTGCACACCCATGAGGCTCAAGTAAGTGGACAACGGGGCGTGCGTCGCCAGCCACACCCCCAAGGCCGAAAGGGTTGGCAGGAGGAGTTTTATGCTGAGCCATTTGACTAGTCGACTCTTGATGTTATTGCTGTTAGATATTGGATGGGCTAGTATATAAAAGACGACGTGTAATATTCCGACTTCTCTCTGACGCAGCCTGTCGCTCAAAAGATTCAGTGGCTAAAGAATATTAATTACATTTTAATTAAAATATATGCATATATAAAGGAGTTTATATAAGTATACAAGCTAGTTAAAGCAGTTGAGCTATGCGCACCTCAGATATGGTAGAGCTATGGCATATTACATATACAGTTCTGCATAGTTAGTGAAGAAATAGAGTACACGAAGGTTGGCAGCCGCATTAATATTTCGATTCGATTGATACGTAGTCGAGGCCACACGGCCCCAGGTCCAGAGGCGGCAGGAGCCAGTGGACTGTGGCTCGTGACACGCCTGCGGACGCCTGTGTGGCAAGGCATGAGATTTATGCGTGCCGTTATGAGACAGCATAAATCAGTGACAGGACAGGACAGTGCGGAGGCCACATGCACAGTCTGATAGATGGTCGGGCAGCCTCGCCCCGCCTCACCTTGCCCTGACCTTCCCTGCTCTGTCCTGCCGCCTGTTGGCCGGCTGTCTGCTGCTGCCAGACTGTGACAACATCCGATGGGGTAACAGGACATTCGCCTGATTTTATTTCATTTTCACTTGCAGGCGCCGCAGTGAAGCAGAGCAGTCGAGAGATTCCAGTTGTTCCTATCTATATATCCCGTAGTTTTCAATCATTTCCTATCTCCACACTTTGTGTTTCGCTCACGCTTTCTGTTTCCTTTCCTTGCCGCCACCAGATCGCCTCCAGCTCCACACCCCGCTGTCTGCGGCGCGCCGACTCCGGCGTGCCCAACGAGGCGCTCACACCCCGCAGCGACACCAACTCGATCAGCGAGAGCACCAACACCACCTCGCCTCCAGAGCGCGCTCCCTCCGAATCCTCCAGCGGCGTGCACTCGGGCGAGGAGCGTGAACTGGAAGTCATCATCCGGCCGCGAGTCAGCTGCAAGGCGCCGCCACGCCCACCTCAGCCGCCCATACAGGAGGAGCCGTACGGCCGCTGCACTAACATGCGCATGTCCAGCTTCAACGCCGACCCAGCCGCCAGCGTCATCAACAGCGCCACGTTACCTCTGCAGCGCAGCGCACCTGAGCAGAAATTCGACTACACGGCCCACTGCAGCACGATGCCCCTGCCGGCGGGCTGCCACAGCCAGCAGCTTGCCAACGGCAACGGCAGTGGCAACGGCAACAACAACGGCGGCTATGCCTCCACCTCGGCCATGACCAGTTCCATGGGCCCGCCCTCGCAGGTGTCCACCTTCAAGACGCCCAGCATGCACTATGCCAATGCCGCCGTCGCCCTCGGCTCCTCCGTGCCTCATACGACGCTGCCCAACGGGGTGCGCTACTCGAATCCACACTTCCTGCGCCGATTGCCGCACGTGAGCAAAGCGGCAGAGTCGCCGTATGGACACCTCGGCTACGGGGCAGCCCATCACGCCTTCAGTAAGCTGCCACACGAGACGCACCCGACCATCCACGAGGATCGAGACTCGGCCAACTACTCCATGGCCTCGGACCAGGACTGCGGACTCTACGTCACGGCGCAGCTGCACTAAGCACCTAATATATCGAACCCAGCTATAGTTCCCTAGAATCGGAATACCGCATACAAGCAAGCTTAAGCAGATATATAAATATATATACAAATGTACTTTAATCATAAGTGTATAGAAGCCTCAAATCTTAAATCTTCCACCAACACTCGACAACTTCAGCTGGCATCATCACGGCTTGCTCATTGTCAAGGAGCTCCCTTGCTGAGCTCTGACCGAACCCTGATGATGCCTTCTGATTAACTAGCAGAAGTAAACCTAAGTTTCCCTAGATATTCTATTATTTGCCTGAATAACAAACATCTACCGTGTAACTGACGCCTCACGCATAAGGTTACAAAGGACATCTATTCATATACTATATATTATATATATACATACATAGATATATACAACTCTATATTTATACACACTGCTCGGTATGCTCGTATACAATGTGTAAGATAATAAATAATATTTGTGTTTATCATATCATCTATGATAATATATATACTTAACTAGAACTTGGCTTAATGTCTAACTCTAAGCGAATCCACATGCGTACATATGACATATATCTATATATTTATATATATAACTCAACTATTATCAAGTAATCACTTTAAATACTTCTAGAATTTTTTTCCGCTAAGAAATCTTTAATCTGAATACTGCATACGAATTTACGCCGCAATTGCATGGTTTTATTAGCAAAAAAAAAAAAAAGGAAAGGCCAGAGAGATGGTAAAGTGGATAATATAAATGTATTTCTTTAAGATCAATTGCAGTCAAACCTTTCCGAAATCGCTTAAACCTTGATTTGACCGATCATCAAATTGTATCGTATCTCGAAAACCCTGGGTAATATCGATTGTCAATCAAATAATTTATGAAATCGTCGTAGTTTTGCAAAGGACAAGTGATGGACGTGAGCATTAGTCAAGCTTCAGCTAGTCGTCTAGCGATAATTACTAAAGCTTCAGCATTTTTGTACGGTCTCTCAAATATATACATATATACATGCATATATGCAAATGTATTCGTATCAGTTAAGATAAATGTAAATGGAATGTAACAAAGCGACAATATGATGATATCTAATGTATTATAAAAAGAACTAAGTGTATGAAATTAGCTAATACATATACCAGCGGAAACACGCACACATACGCAACATTAACTCACGGACTTCAAAGCACCTCCCATACATATCTCCCAAAAATAAAAACTCCAACCTTTTTAGGCGCTCTCTACATGGCTTTTAAATACAAGTAATGCATGCATTTGGATTCAAAAAAAAATACATATACATACATATATGATGAAAGCTATAACTAAAATGTAATTCCTACGTGGCACTCGCACCATCGGCACATCAATTGAGAAGTTAACCAAATTTATTTTTGTTATGAAGACTGATTAGCATTTTAATACCCTATAATGAGAAGCCCAACAAGCACATGCATTCAAATACACGTTAGATACCCCGCCCAGCTGTCATTCACTGAAACTCGATGCATTGTACGACTCTTGACTCTAGTCGTATATATAACTTACTTATTTAAATATCTGTTGAGATGGGGCGAACAGTCTATAACATTGGTTCCTTTAAGAAACGCACTAAAGCTAAGTATTAGCCACATATAAGTCACACTTTTGTAAAATAATTTCTATTCAATTTTAGGGTTAATGTAAGGATATATTCTAACAAGAATACCAAGTATGACCCTTGATATTGCATTATGTAATCGCATCATATTTTTGTAAGTCTAACTAACCAAGCGAGATAAAGAAAACAACTGTAAATGACAGTAGGAATAATGGCGCCAATGAACCCGATATGACATGATAGACACACGCATCGTATACATACATCTAACATAAATATTTATTGCTGCACAAAAATAAGCAAATGAATACTTAAATGTTTGAATTATTTATACATACCATATATGATTAAAGGTTTATCAATGGTAAATAAAAAAATACCACCGCTTTATGTGAAACCCCAAATAAAAACATGTGTTTAATACTTCGGTCAGGGGAATGCATATTATGTATGTATATGTGTACATATGAATTTTTACCGTACAGACAATTTTGTTATGTATATATCGAGATCTCAGAAGTTATAAAAGCCGTAAAGCTGAAGTTTGTTATGCATACTCGTGTATACCATACGCAGTATGAGTTTATCTTATTTTTTCGATAACTCATTCGATAACTTTTTTATCGAGAATGAACACTTTTAGACCTGGACCCCCCATTTTGTAATTTACAGATTTTGGTTAACACGCCCCCTTCGCTCCCAATTAAAAACAAAAAAAAGAACTATTTCACTAGAGACTTGAGCTTAGAATGAACCCACATTTTAATTTAATGATTACGTCCTGAAAGCTTCAATTAGATTATCCTTCTACAAATACAATTATTCAACAATAAAATTCTCATAATATTGGCCACACTACAGCGCAGCCCAAGCGTAGTCGCTGCCTACTGCGCAGTTAGCAGAGCGCGGGCGTATGCGTGCGTATGAATGCTTGTGTATGTGTGTGCGCATAAAAGAATTGCAGATTGGAGGGTTCAGGGTATCTCCTAGTCGAGCAGTCTCGACTAGAGCCTTCTTACTTGTTTTACTTCACTTTTCATATTCGTACCCTGTCCTTGACCGTCTTGGAGTGATTTTACCAACCATTTGACGATCGTTTTGATTCTAGTGTGATATGATGGAGCTTTGGTACATCTGAACTGAAATGGAAAACCAGGATATAATGGTTTTGTAAAAAGTATGTAACAGGCAGAAAGAACCATCGTAGACCCCATGAAATATATGTACATATTCTTGATCAGGACGACGAGCTGAGTCGATTTAGTCCTGTCCGGCCGTCTGTCCTTATGAACGCCTCAGAGGTTAAGACTTGAAATTACGCAGTAAAAGTTTATCATATTTTTTGTATCCGATAACTTTTTTATCGAGAATAATCGAAAAATTGATTTTGTTTTTCAACCCAATTTGAATTTACAGATTTGGGATACCACGGCCGCTTCGCCCCCAATTTGTAAAAAACGTATTTTTTATACTACTGGAGACTTTTACCACCCTCTGAGGTTTCACAAAGATAGTCTTACTATAAGAGAAATTATTCAACAAATAAATTCCCATATTATTGTCCACACTGCAGAGCAGCCCACGCGCTGTCGCTGCTTACTAAGCAGTTATCAGAGAGCGTGCTAATACATACATACATGTGTATGTGTGTGTGCATAAAAGAAATGCAGAATAGAGAGTTCAGAGTATCTCTTAGTCGAGCAGTCTCAACTAGAGCCTTCTTATTTGATTCAAACTAAGAAAAGTAAATATTGTACTCCATGTTACCATCGAAACATTTTTGGTTTGTGAGATCTATACTTCTCGCTGAGTCATTGTAATTATTTTCTTTTCTACAAATAATATTTTTATCTATGTGTCTATAATTGTTAGGAAATTATCTGACATTTTTCTTTGACATCAAGAGCTAATCTACTTTAGCTATAATTATATATAATCTCTCAACCTCAACCTATGATTAAGTCCATAGGATACATTAGCCTCTCAGAGTTAGATTATATTCAAATGGAGCCCTCTCTCTCTCATTCCCCCGACATGT